ACCAATTAATGAGTGTCTGAAGCCACAATGTCACACCGTGGCCATAAGCACAGTTTACAGGAACCAGAATCTCTGGCCAGGAAGGGTGGGGTGGAGCTGAGGACAGCCAGGACAAAGGCCAGAGACAGCTGCCCTGCTCACCGCGGGGGACGCAGAGCCAGCAGTGAGTGAGTGAGGAAGAGCCACGCTGTGGGAAGGCTGCGTCACTGTAGGGAAGTCCAGCAGGCTAAGACAAAAGGAGGGAGCAGGCCCAGGGGACGAGGTCATCACACATCCGGGAATACAGGCACACCCTTTTCCAGAGGGTCACTTCAATATGCTTCCATGTGTCTTTTACAAATTTATTCAGAAGGCTGTCTCCTTCAACCTCCCCATAGAGTGGTTACTGTATACTGCATTCATTTGTGGGTCTCCTGAGTATCTACAAGTTCTTATTAATGAAACAGAGAGAAAAAGGAGTTGAAAATGGCTGAAGTGGTCTGCTTTAGTGTGGGTGTGTGAACCACGTGGCCCTCTGAGGCCCAGAACCTGCCACGGGGTGGAAATCCCCTAGGAACAGTCTGTCTCCTCTCTTTCAACTTGGTCCTTCTGAATTTAAAACCCTGTCTTCAACAAGTCGTCAAAGGACTGGGCCAGAGCAGAGCGTGTGCCAGGCTAACACTCAGGGACCGATCCCTGATAGTTCAGCCCTGAGCTTTAGAGAGTCTGCTGGAAGTTCGCTAAGTTTGTGATGGCCGTGTTGGAACCATCAGGGGTAGGGTCAAGTTGGAGAAGTCAAGTTTTACTAGACAGAGTTTTGTTTGTTTGTTTGTTTGAGACAGAGCTTCTTTGTAGTTTTATTAGAGCCTGTCTTGGAGCTAGCTTTTGTAGTCCAGGCTGGCCTCGAACTCACAGAGATCCACCTGCCTCTGCCTCCCGAGTGCTGGGATTAAGGGCGTGCGCCACCACCGCCCTGCTCTACAAGATGGAGTTCTGCACCCTAACCCCCGCGATGGAGAGAAAATGAGCCGATTGGGTGGCTGATGTTTGTCCACTTTGACCTATAAAAGTTGCCACCTCGTGTACAGGTCTGGGAAGGGCCTTGGCAGAGTCTCTTGAGATGCCTTCTTCAGGACGTCACCCAACAGTGAGATGGAACTGGTACAGAGACAAGTGGCCGTGGGGTTCAGCCAAGAGTTCCATTGTCCGACTCTCGGGCTTTGAGCAATGGACTCAGGACCTGAAACCACCGTGTTCACACTTCACCGTGTTCACACCTCACTGTGTTCACACCTGCAGCTTCCCTCACGCTTGCATATCCTTGTGACTAAGCCCTGTTTCGTTTTCATTTGCCCGCTCAGCAAGGTGTTTCTTTTATCTTAGTTTTTGCATATTTTTGAAGCAACTTACCAGTAGGTTTCTGTTTGTTTTTGACATCTCTTAAGTTTGGGTTTGTTATTTGGGTATTTTATTTTCATTTCCCCTCTTCTCACACTATCTTCCACTTTTTTTCTTTTTCTTTAATTTTTTTATTCTCTCTCTCTCTCTCTCTCTCTCTCTCTCTCTCTCTCTCTCTCTGAGACAGGGTCCCGCCATGTAGCTCAGGCTAGCCTGGAACTCACAGTGCTCTGCCTGCCTCTGCCTCCGACCTGTTGAAGTAGGACAGGTTACTCGCTGTAACCCCATCACTAATTTGCAAAATAAAGGGAATGGGGCTGTCCTGCTGCCTTCAGAAAGCTGAGGTGGAAGGACCATGAGTTCCAGACAGGTCTGAGCTATTCAGCAAGGCTGAAAGATGGAAAGAAAGGAAACTAAGACAGAGGAAGGCGAGAGAGAAAAGGAAAAAGAAGGAGTCACTTAATTTAAACCTTTTCTTTGTTTGTTGGGGTGGTGGTTCTCGTCTTTAATTCTGCACTCAGGAGGCTGAAGCAGGTGGATCTCTGTGAGTTTGGGGCTACGCTGATCTTCTTAGTGAGCTCTAGCACAGCCAGGGCTAGCGGGTGAGACCCTGTCTCAGACAAACAGAAGCCCTGCTTTTTTAGTTTTCGATAAACAGAGGTGATGATTATACTTGTAGATGGGATTTCTGTCTGGATCCTCCCTCCTTGTTTAGGTGGCAGAATTCTCAAGGACAGGGGACGGGTGCTCCTTTGAACTCCAATCCAAATGTCTTCCAGGGCTCTCTATGCGGTGCCACTGGGAGGTAGGACCTCGCTGGAGCAAGACAGCCCCCTCTTCGTCTCTCAGCTTCCTGGTCACCAGGAGGTGAGCAGCCTCCTCAACCGAGGGCCCCATTCTGACATCCTTCTGTGCCACCACAGTCACCACAGACCCAAAGCAATAGAGTCACATGACCACTGGCTGAAACTTGTAAAACTGCTAGCCAAACTCTTTCAAAGTTTGTTGCCTTACTAGGCCTGTTGGCACACACCTTTATCCCAGCACTTGGGAGGCAGAGGCGGAGATCTCTGTGAGTCTGAGGCCAGCCTGGTCTACACGGTGAGTCCCAGGATAGCCAGGGCTACAGAGTGACAGTCAAAGGTCTTATTACCTCAAGCATTTTATCACAAAGGAAAATGACTAATACGGGAGGGACAGTGTAGAAGGGTGGTGTCACATCTAGTGGAAGCCGAGAGCTGGAGGAGGGGACAGGGACAGAAGAGGCTCCTGGTGGGGGAGACAGATAAGCCGTGGGGGAGGAAAAGGCTGCCTCTGCAGTTAGATGCCAGCTTTGGTCCTGAATGCTTATCTGCAGGGCAGGGCCTCACCCCAGGATCTCTGAATGTGCCATCCAACTGTTAGGGCAGATGGCAGAACTCCAGGTAACCTCTTCTTTCCTCGAAATGACCCACCCTGTAGATACTTCAGCCCGAGCCTCCGACCTCCTTGGAAGAGTTCGAGCTCACAGAAGCTTCCCCACCTTTTTTATGTCTCACGTTTAACAAGACAGGGTCTCACTCTGTCCCTTGGGTGGCATGGAACTTGGGATCTGCCTGCCTCAGCCTCCTGAAGGCTGAGATTGAAGGCACGTACCACCATGTCCAGGCAAAATCCTTTCCCCACCCGTAGCCTAAAGGCTTTTTTGATTCCCATGGAGGGAGAAAGCGGTGTTTCTTTAAAAGTCTTGCATTAAGCTTCATGTAAGAAAAATGAACACTTAGAAATTAGGTGGGCATGGCTAGCATTTTTAAATGCTCACCACAGGCCAGCGTAGGTCTTGGGCCCACTGGTAATAACTGGTTTCTAACTCTAAAAGCAGGGAAGGTTGTAGGATGCGGAGGTGGACTGTGGTGAGCATTACATAAGATAAAGTTCATAAACCGCAAGGCTGGGTGGACACTCAGCTAATGAAAGCAGCGTGTGTGTGTGTGTGTGTGTGTGTGCACGTGTGTGTGCACGCGCGTGGGGGTGCGTGTCTGCATGTGCGTGTGTGTGCACATGTGCCTTGTGTGTGCGCGCATGTGTGTGTGCATGCAAGTCCAC